TGTTGATGGAAAAATTGGAGTAGAGGGCAAGCAAAGCTCGTTCCCAAGCAAAGATAGCTAAGCTTCGTCGTTAGTATCGTAATCCGGTTGAGACGGTCGGAAGCTGCTGTCCCTGGGAGAGTAGTTCTGACTCGCTGCTATAACTTGCTGATTATTCAACGAAGACGGCAGAAAGTAGTCGTTGTAGTTCTGGCTTTCCGCTGTAGTTTGTTGGTAATTGGCATGATCGTCGTTGCTGCCGTCGTTTTCGGCGAAGCTTTGATTCGTCTCGCTTTCCTGAGTCTCGAAGTCCGACGATTTTGCAAAAAGAGACTCGTGCGAATGCTGCGACACGCATAAGTTGACACATGTACAAAATCTTAGCAAACGAGCGAAATCAATGAAATATATCTAGCGCGTTGAGTATGATCGCGTAGTGGTGTCAATTAAAGCCTCAGTGCTTTATTTGCTCGGATCGACGATACTTAATTATAATTAAGAAATAGAGCTTAATTAAATGAGCTCAGAAGTTTCCGCAAAACGACGCTGGTTCACATTGCGAAACTCGATTATCTTGTTGCGCTCGTAATGCAAGGGAATCTACACTTGCACAAGAAGCGCTCGCGCGGCCACGCGCTCACTTTTTCCTCGTCGCGAATGTGCGCCAAACGACATTTTTTGCGCTCTATCGTGGCGGCTCGTGCTCGATTTCCTCTTATACCAAAATCGGCTTCCAGGAACTGGCCGACCAACGCCCAGCCGTCAGTGGATCTAAGTGTGCACGAGTGTGCATCAAAGCAGCTTTTTTCACACTTTCTCGCGGCCCTCGATATATTTCGCGATCTCGTAACTTACCGGTTGTTGCTGCTCCAAATGATGATTATGATGATGATGGTCTTGATGAAGTAGAGATGGCAGATAAATCGGTTTGGATACTTGCACTGGATGCGGCACCGCCACTGGCCTGCTTATGTAAACGGGCACTTGGTGGGGTATAGGAATCGCTACAGGCCTGGCCACTGGCACCGGCACGTGGTGATCGACTTTGACGTAATGCGGCACTGGTACTGGTATCGGACGGTTGACCGGCACCGGAATCGGTATGTGATGAGGTACCTGTACGCAGAAGACGCGCGCAAAATCACGCACACGCGTTCAATTGCGAGTATAATATTCAATTATAACGTTGGCGCGCGCGACAGACAGCCGTTTGATCAATCGAACGCGCCGAGTCTTGGCTTTAATTGGCTGAGATATATGCACACGCGAGCGCCTGTACAAAATCTTCTAGTTCGTGGACTCGCGACGAAAGACGAACGAGGTAGGAATATAATCGAAATACCGCATCGATTCTCCGCCACGCACGAGGGATAGACGATCCTTGAATGAATTTAACGAGGCGTGTAATCGCAAAGTTTAGTCAAGCGGTATATCAAGAAATTAAAGTAATTAATCGGACGACTGGAGCAAGCGAAAAAGAAGAGAGAGAGAGTCGCGGCTTGCGTTGCATATAAAAAATATTTTTTCTGACACTGACCTTAACTGGATAAGGTACAGGAACCTTGACGGCGACGGTTCTCGTTATCTTGATTATTTTTGCGGGAAGATCCTTCAAGTACACCGACTGCGAGATGAGCCTCGGGTGAATCGGATACAGCGGCTCGTTTCCTGAGCCATGACCATGGGTCACAACAGCGGCAGCGTGCAACCAATCCGAAGCCGAACTCGAAGCGGTGGACAAGGCCAAGGACGCAAGGACTGCCCGAATCAGCTGCTGAAAACGCGACACACATCACCATTATCTCTCGAGCTCATTGTACAGATCGACTAGTGGTCGCGCGTGCCCAAGCTTGAAAGATTCTGGTCTATGATTTCCTTTGTAATTGATACATACAGCCGGCGCGCATCCCAATGTAAGGTACAGCCCTCGAGGTTGCTGCATACATAGTAAAATTATAAGCCCGAGACGAGATGACGCGACGCGACGTCGCAGCGAATCGAGTTTCGCGAGATGTCTAGCCGAGATGGCTGATTAGGTCTAATATGAAAATTGATGAGGGCTTGGTTGTGAGCTCGATCGCGACACTTCGTTTTCGTTCGAATGATTAATTCTCTCGGTTATCGTATTTTCTCTGTCCCGAGCTTTCTCGTTACATTACTGACTTGTACAAAAATACGAGAGACACACGTGTATCGAATGAACGCTCGATTGATTATTTTAAAAAATCTTACTACTTCCAGCTTCATCTTCCCTTTTTTCCGGTTGAATCGGTCGAGGCTCACTTTTAGCGCAAATAAATGGTCTTAAAAGCAAATGAACGTATGACGGTGTTGAACTGAAAAAGACGGGCAGAAAAGCGAGCTCTTATATAGCGATGGCTTTCCTCCTGCGCCTATTCTCTCCTTTTTCTCGCTCAGAGGCATGATCACGCGCAAACGAAAACACTTTTACCGATTTACTTCCGAGATCGATGTCTGGCTCGCACACGAGATCGTGTAACTGACGACACCATAAAGTGGATCCATCAACCAATTCGAGTTCGATGAACTTCGTCGCAAGGCTAGTACGCAGTGCAGTATTTCATTGATACATATTTGTAGAGAGTCGTCGATTATTACGCGTAGCTCTAGAGATCGTCGCACTGCTGCAAAGGAGTATGCAGTGGATGTATAATGTATGTGTCTATATATATATATATATATATATAGCGATCAAAGCTCGTTCATGCGAGAGATTATGATGTGGGCTGGATGTGGCAAAGGAGCAAGTGCGCCGAGAGAAACATAGCGACTCAAAGGCTTAAATTATGCGCACAACCAACCAAGACTTTGCGAACGTAAAATAATTTTGACTTGCTTGCTTTTTGATCGCTCGCACGTATGACTTAGCTCGACCATTGCCAACTGGAAATTAGCTTTACTGCAGTTTAGGGTCTGCAGCACTTTGTATAAAAGTGAAAATAAAGTAAATAATTCAAATTCACTTCTCGAAAATTTAATCTCACTAAAATTACAAAACATTAAAGATGCTTATAATTAAAAACCTATTGGGCCCTGATTAACTTATTAAAATCGTAAGATGTATACAATTATTAGAAATTCAAATTTTATCGAATCGGGACCTGTAATTAAAACAATTTTTAAAATGAAAAATTAAAATTAGAAAATTATAAATTTCAAATAGGAAAAATTAAATTAAAAAAAAATCAATAGGATAAGAGAGAGAATAAAATGTATGTGTCATGGAGCATAAAGCTGATGCATTAAAATTTTATCAGAATTCATAATTATCATCTATATGTCATGTAATATGTCTATCATATTCGCGAAAAAAATTGACAATTCATTCAATAGTCTTAAATTAGTTTGAAGTAAACAAGTCAATAAGGAAACAATCGAAAAAATTGAAACGAAATTCATAGGATTTTAATTTAGAAAAAACGTCATAATTGACTAGGGTCAAAATAACTTCCTAGTGCTGGTATATTACTAAAATCTTCAGTTCCGTATAGAGCGCGTGAAAAGTCAAAACGAGTTTGTTCACTTGAAAGGATCGAACGATTGAACAAAGTCATAATTAAAGTAACTTGTTTTTGAACGTTTATTATGTGAAAGCATCGTAATACTATGTTTGCGTTTCTGCAAAGTAAACATAAAGATAACCCTTTTTTCTAGACACATACACCTCTATCTCAACATTTTTCGTTGGATTTTTGAGTGAGATGTTTCCTTCTCTTTTAATTGCATTTTTCGAAATTCCAAAATTTTGATTTTGCACTGAGATACAGCTGTTTCCGTAGGCCTCTTTCCTACACTTTAAGTATTAAATTTTTTGTCAAGTAGTGTTTTTGGTCATCTGTCGTAACTTTCAGAGAGTACCCACGCATTTTTAGCAACATGGGTCGCGTACTAAACTTCTTGATTCTTCAGAACATCAATGCTTACAAACACAAGCACTTTAGGAATGATCGAACTTATAGGTCACTCTCAAACAGTACTTTTATGATTTAAATTTCGGTAAATAACGTAAAATGAAAAAAAATGTGCGCGTAACTATACGTGCAGAGCACTCTGCATGTATATGTTCTTTCAGAATCCGGTGTCATTTTTGCGATAAATAAACATTATCACCGATTATTTTGCAATTAAAAAAATGTGATTTTTTGACTTGAAATACACTTTTTATTGCATGACTTTTTTCATAAAATCAATAGTTTCCAAAAAAAATGAGCGAATTTTTACATCGCTGCTCGGTATAAATCCGCCATTTTTAGCAATATAAGAGCTAGATTGATAGTGTTATGGGAACCCTCCGAAAGCAGGGCAATGTAGAAAATCGACTTTGAAAAAAAAATTTAAGTCAAAAAATCACGTTTTTTTGATAATGTTCATTAAAAATAATCATCATAATCAAAAATAACACCAGATTCTGAAAGAACATACCCAAAAACCCCTGGATACGAATTTTCAAGAAAAGATTTTAATTTTATCTATGATTTTTTTTAGCATGGAAGAATTAATGCACAAAATTGCATTTTTGCGTGTTAATGGGTTAATGAGGAAGCAACATTTTACATGTAAATTATAGGAAAAAGGCTCAAAGAAACAGCGGTATCTCATTGAAAAATCAACATGTAGGGGTTCTAAAGAATGGATTGGAAAGGAAAAATCTTTCTCAAAAATCTGATAAAAAATTTTGATTTTAAGGTGTTTATGTTTTCTTAATTAATTATTTAAAAGAATCAATAATTATAAGCTAAAGTTATGGAAAAAATGAACCCAAAAAATGAAGAAAATTAAGAATAAGACCTTCGATTTAAATAAAATATTTGACTTTTCGTATTTTCACTATCATGTTAAAAAATATGCATTTGTAGATTTGTAAAAAAAATCTCAAAATGGTTTCAAAGTATTTTATTGAACAAACAAGACAAAACATAAATAATAAGTGTAGGTGATTTTCAAGATAAAAAATTTGAGTCAGGTAAGTGTCACATTCAAATGATACAGCCGTACTTGAATGAATGTTTCACATAGTTTTTAATTCACATAATCTAAAAATTTCAATTTAACTACTAAGATAAACTACATTTCATTTTCACTATTTTTCATTCATACTCACTCGCTTTGTAACTATTCAATCATCTTTTGGCGATAAAAAGCGAATAAAATCGAAATACTTCAAAATTAAAGTAAAGACAATTCCGAAAGTAATTTCAAATTTTAAAAAATTACCGACATTAGATAACAATAAATCGATGCTAAAAATGTTTTTCCGATTTTTAAAAGCCTTTACAGCTCGCTAAATTATTTGTGAAGCACGTAAGCATTTAAATATGTACACAATTTACATATCATAACATTCTATATCCATCTATATACTCTAAAATAGTATTACATTCAAAACAAGCCCTTTAAAAATGTCCTTGATTACAAGTCAGGAATCTTGTAATTTAGAGCTTCAATTGAAACTACATACTTATTTCATATGTGTAAAAGTAAAAAACTGCGTAAAAATTTCATAAAATCTGAGTAATGTTTCTATTGAAAATTCAAAACGACGTAATTGAATGATATATAGGTATCGAATAAATTTAGTAATGCTAAAATAAGTATGTAATTTAGGCACTGATCACAAATTCCCCAACTCGATTTACAAAATTTTTTGTATCATATAATGCGACTGTAACATAAATTGAACCAGTTAATGCAGTTAACTTGCCACCATTAGCCAATAATATGAGACCAAACACTATTTTTACAGAAGAAATAACTATCATTCAACAATTATCTCCGAGAAAATTAATTCATGTAAAAATAATAATCATTATTATTCATGTAAGAATAATTCATGTAATTTTTCGTACGTACACATCAATTGGATGTTTATAAATCGTATATTGTATGAAGAACTAATTTCTCAATATGTTTAATCATTTCAAACGTGTTCAGAAAAGTTATCGTTTTTTCGGATTACATATGCGAAATGAAGATTCACCAACTTTAATCAAATTAGATAGACGATACACGAAACTGATTTTATTAATTTAATAAAGTTGTACTTGGCGTTGAATTTGGATGAAAAAATAGATGTAAAATAGTTTTAAATAACTTTTTATCATTAAAAAATGATTATTTACATATACATTATTACAAACTAAAACTTTAACAATGATTTCCATTTTGTACATATTGTGCTTGTCAAAGCGCATTAATTTAAAGCTGAGTTTCTAATTGATGTAGGAAAATGAAGGCTTGAAATAATTATCAGGAGGTGATCTACTAATTCACTTCAAGACTCCATTTACCGAGATATTTTAAAAACTGAGCTATAAAAAAATTGAGCAAATAAATCAGAATGCTTCTCGTTGGAATCGTCTAATAAAATTTTGACTTTAGATTAAATTGTTCAACCACTTACAAACAATTAATTATTATTCTAGTCATCAGACATAATTGTCAAACTTAATTTTTAATGTCATATTTTAACATTTTTGATGTATAGAAAATCGTTCCGTAGATTTATAAAGATTAAGAATCCAGTCTCAATCAAAACATCGTCAGAAATTCCTGGTATAAAATAACCTGGCTTCTTGCTATTCATTTCGATACTTCGTAATTTTTTTTTCATTTACCAAGCATCGAATATTTAAGCTATAATAACTAGTATTAGCGAATAGCCTCTTGTCTGATGGCAAGTAAACAATTTTAGGTTCAGGTCTATAATTTTATATTTAGTTCTTCTCTTCTTTTTTCTTCTCTTCAGATTCGGTTTCTGTGGATTGTTGTTGGTTTCCCTCGCGTTCAGCAGCCATCTGGAAATACAAATTATTTAATTAATAAACATTTAAAAGATGTATTTCAACTTAAAATTATACTGCATTTAAATATTTAACTCAGTCATATAAGTCCACATATATTACATCATTTAAATGTAATTTTGAGAGACGAAAAATAGAAGCATCACGGTATTGACAAACGAATTTTCAAAATGATAAATAGAAATGATAATTGAATAAAGTTAAATAACGTACCTTTTTGTAAGCCATTTCGAAAAGCTTCAAGCTGGCTTGTTGAAGCTCATTAGTTTGCTTTTTGATTTCTTCTGGGTCCATCTCGTCTTTTTTAGCCAAGGTTTCTTTCATCTTGGCAACCAATTCCCTCAATTTGTCACACTAAAAAATTAAAATGATGAAATAAATTAGAATTCATAGTATAAGTAATGAAATGAATAAGCTTTGATTCATGAAAAACATACTTCTTCTTGAGGAAGTTGAGCCTTGAATTCTTCCATTTTAGCTTCAGTGTCGTGAACGATTCCTTCGGCTTGATTGACAGCTTCAACTCGTTCTTTCTTTATTCTGTCTTCCTTGGCGTACTGTTCGGCATTCTTAACCATGTTTTCGATTTCATCCTTGCTCAATCCACCACTGGATTGGATAACAACTAAACAATGTAGAATTTATTATTTATTATTGTAACCCATTTTTAGAGAATATATTTTTTTTTAAGCGAAAATCTCAGCTAATTTTACCACATATATTACATTGAAATGTAATTTTCAGAGACGAAAAATATAAACATCATTGAAAAATTATACATGCCTAAAAAATGTTCAATAATTTTGTTGACTTACTTTGCTGTTCTTTTCCAGTTCCCTTATCTCTGGCCGAAACGTGAACAATACCGTTAGCATCAATATCGAATGTAACTTCAATTTGTGGGACGCCTCGGGGTGCTGGTGGGATACCAACAAGGGTGAATTGACCCAGTTGTTTGTTATCACTGGCCATTTCACGTTCACCTTGATGAACTTTAATTTCAACTTGAGTTTGGCCATCAGCGGCAGTAGAGAACACCTGGCTTTTTTTGGTGGGAATGGTAGTGTTACGAGTGATCAATCTTGTGAAAACACCACCCAAGGTTTCAATACCTAAAAAATTAATAATGTTAAAGTTTTTATATATCTATAAAAAAAATTAATGAATGTATAACTCATTTTCAGAAATAAATTTGTCCACCTCAATTTTTCAGAGAGAAGATTAGTCAAACATCATTATAATTTCAGTAACTCAAATATTCAAAATGATAGTGAAACATACCTAGAGAAAGTGGAGTGACATCAAGCAAAAGGACATCAGTAACATCACCAGCTAGTACGCCACCTTGAACAGCTGCACCAACAGCAACAGCTTCATCAGGGTTGACTGCTCTTGATGGTTGTCTACCAAAGATTTCTTGGACAGTTTGTTGTACTTTGGGTACACGAGTCATTCCACCAACAAGAAGTACATCACCAATATCGGATTTAGAGACTTCTGCGTCTCCAAGAGCTTTCTGGCAAGGTGCAATTGTACGCTTAATTAAATCAGCGACAAGAGACTCAAATTTACTTCGGCTCAATTTCAAATTCAAATGTTTTGGACCACTGGCGTCCATGGTCAGGTAGGGTAAGTTAATATCAGTTTGTTGGGAGCTTGACAATTCTATTTTAGCCTTTTCAGCGGCTTCTTTCAAACGTTGCATAGCCATAGCATCCTTATGGACATCAATACCTTGCTGAAAAGGTAAGCTTTCTATTAATGTGCTGAAGGACCCAAATAATAATAAATTAATATAACACTTACGTCTTTCTTGAACTCATTGGCAAGATAGTTGACAAGAGCATTGTCAAAATCTTCACCACCTAAGAATGTGTCACCATTGGTCGATTTTACTTCAAAGACACCTTTTTGGATTTCCAAGATGGAAATATCAAAAGTACCACCACCCAAATCGTAAACAGCAATACTGAAATAGTGAAATTGTAAGTTAGAGTATTTGTAAAAAACAAAAAAGTATTTAAAATATGTCTCAAATAATAATTTACATTTTATCTTCAGTTTTATCCATGCCGTACGCTAAAGCAGCAGCAGTAGGTTCATTGATTACTCTTAAGACATTTAATCCTGCAATTTGACCAGCATCTTTGGTGGCCTGTCTCTGCGAGTCATTAAAATATGCAGGAACAGTGACAACTGCATTTTTTACTGGAGTACCCAAGTAACTTTCAGCAGTTTCTTTCATTTTCATCAAGACAAATGCTCCAATTTGGCTAGGAGAATACATTTTTCCATCACTTCCTTGGACCCAAGCATCTCCATTTGAAGCTTTGACAATTTTGTAAGATACTGTTTGCCTATTTTACAATAATTACACATTAGTTATATTTGAAATTGAAGTTAATAAAAGTTGAGATAAATTTTAACCTTAATAAAACTTACATGTCTTTTTTTACTTCGGCATCTTCAAATCTTCTGCCAATGAGACGCTTGGTAGCATAGAATGTGTTGGCTGAATTTGTTACAGCTTGGCGTTTAGCTGGCATACCAACTAACCTTTCTCCGTCTTTGGTAAATGCAACATATGAAGGTGTGGTTCTTGATCCTTCAGCATTTTCAATTACCTTAGGTTGCTTTCCTTCCATGACCGCAACACAAGAAAACGTTGTTCCAAGATCAATACCAATAACAGCTCCTTTGACTCCTTCAGATCTATAATTCATAATAAATGGTAATATTTAATAAGAAGTATTTTCAATTGTAACATAGATGAACATAGACAAATTTTTTTTTATTTATGATTCAAAAAATTTGTATAAAAAAACAATTTGTTACTTACTTATATCTATATTGTTGAAAACCATTTTGGTGTTTGGATGAGATGATTTGTGTGGCAGCAACCTATAAGTAACAAATATAATCATTAAGTACTTTAAAAAATTAAGCTATTTCAATTTGACATTTTTTAAACAAAATATTGTTTGAAAAAATATTTATATAATACATCGCGATTTTAAAATATGCATATACTTTGTAAAGGTGATGGGTTGTAGACCGAAATTAAAATTTTCTTTCTTTTTCGCAATTGAAAGAAGTACAATATATTTGTTCCAAAATAGTTAAAACTATAAACAAGTTCAGAGCAAACAAGTTCATTAGCATATACATAGTAAAAACGAACTGAAAAAAATAGTGTGTAACTCATCGAAATTTCACGAAACAACTCGAAAGCCCCCACAGCGTGACCAAGCCGGCAAATGGTGCAACGTGTGGTGTATCTTGGCCGCTTATTCGGAAGATTGCTCAAGTATGAGATTAGATAAAGTGTGCAACTAGGAGCAAATAAAATAAAAATGTTCAATGAATTTACAGTAATTCTACAAAATTCATCCGATTTGACAAGATTAACTTGGCCCTTTTCATTCGTGAGTCACCAGTACTTGACTAAACGTTTCAATGCGAAATGAATCGTCAGTGTTACGTTACTAGCTACTGATGCAATAATACATCATAAGTTAACACTCGATTTAGGAAGCAGTCAATTAGAGAAGAGTCGATAAATTTTATCCGTGAAAATCGATGCAACACAGATCCAGATAAGTGCACTCTTTCGTTGCCGAAACATCCTCGCCCCATATAACCTCCAAATCAACATGACATAATTAAGCGGGTACAATTTACAAAATTAAGATGTTTAATAACTCGGAAATTAGATGACAGCTAGTCATAAACTTAGAGGAAGGAACCGACTAATAAATAACTAATAAATGAGCTGAATATCGCAAATTCTTAGTAGCCGGACTGTAATTCACCCAATGAATAAAGACGAGTACTCACATTTTTAACAATGGTGCTAAATTGATGTTTTTGGGCATAAGACTCGTAGCCCTGGGCGCAAATGTTCTTGCTGATTAATCTAGCGGCGCTCAACATTTTGACTTTTTTATAAATTCTTCGCCTTAACTTTCGTTTTATAAAAAAAAGTTATTGACTATCTCGTTCCCGGTGCTCGAGTTGCAGCTTAGTTCACGTGCTGTGTAGTTCTGTGATGCAATCGCAATAGCTGGCGATGAAACGACGACCAGCGAACTCGAGTTTGCGCACCTTCTCGCTCCGGAATGTTCTACGGCAACAACTGCACGACTCATACGCGCGACCGCGTCATCAGTCTACAATTCTTGTATAAGATAATCGACGTATTAAAACGTCGCGAGAAAAGAGTAGGCGAACAAAAATTCGATTTTTATGATATTGATGGGTCCGCTAAATTTTTCCCTGATTCGAAGCATAAAATCGTCGATTTTCAATGCCAAAATGTGCTTTCAGTCATTGCGTCGAGTTCGAACTCCGGGAGCCGAGTTTGCCATTTTAAAACCGGAGGTTATCATTACCAAGCGCGCGAAATTCGTTATACCTGCACAATGCAACTTATTTTGTAAATTAACTCTTTAATTCGCATAACAAGTAAAAGATATTGATAATTAAACTTTACATCTCCCGCTTGAATTACTCAAAGTAATTTTTTTATCGAAGCGTGTAGCAAATTTTCAAGTTAATTCAATTTGAAATTAAAAACTGAGCTCATTCAAAACTAGAGGAAAGTTAAATATAATGCATATTTGGAATATCGTTTTTTATTAACGTTTTTCAGTTACAATTTTGATTACATACATATAATGGTGGACTTTTTTAAACACATGTTGCTATAATACAAGTGACAAGGATAAAACTTGTTTTTTTGGGGGGAGTGCGTAAAAATGTTATTAGATGACATTTTCTTCTTATTACTTTATTGGTCATGGCAATGAGTCAACTTTGAATGTATATTAATATAATATACCGAGCTAACTCACCTCCATTAGAAGGGTACATATTATATCCTTGCACACAATAATCGCTCCTATTTCGCTAGTATTCTTTTACTTTTATTTTTTTTTTTATACACTACGTCGATTCACCTTCGCATCGATCGATTTTTGTCTCTGTTTAAAAAAAAATTGTCACCGAAATCGATTTTTTTTGATTGATTGACAAATAAAAACTTGGACTACAGACATGGAATTCTTATACGATTTTTTTGCTGCAAGTAACTACTCGTCAAACGTTATTTAAAAGCCGCGATAAATTCACCCTTTCAGTGTCTTAAAAATAAAACCAAAACTACAAGTCTTCGACGGTTAAGCAATTGACTTTTCAAGTCATCATTCTACTAAGATATCTAGACTCGTTTTGGTTTTAGCTTTATATACAACCTGCTTTTCAGCCTGTTTAGGTTCATCTTACAATTCAAATTTGAACATGAATATATTAAATTTTAAAAACATCTTCATTTCCTTCCAGCTAGTTTCTGAGCTATAACAAGAGACTTATACATTATTTTATCCCTTACCAAAGTAGAAAAATTCTATGGCTGTAAGATAAAAATTTTCAATCGATTCCTTATCTTTCTACCTAAATACATAGCTAGTAATTTAACTTTAAAAATATCAAAATAGTCTTTTTACAGAAATCATAATAATAATCGTTCCACCAAATAATATTACGTGTATTTTACAATTGAATTATAAATCAATAATGAATTAATAAGTAAAAACACAACGACACTTTCGTTTCGAATAAATCAAGGAATTTGTTTATCATTCATGTAGAACGATATACATAAAAATTTGTTAACATGATTTTAGATTATTTTTAGTTTTTGCGTATTAAAAGTGTTCAATATTACAGCAAATTCCTTAAGCATTCGATATAAAAATTGCAACGTTTCAAAACGTTATCGAAGTTTGTAATAAAAAGTTCAAAGAAAAGCTGTTGATGTAAATTGAATACACGAGGAAAGAACAATTATTACATAGATATTTATATACAATCGATGTTCCGCTATTAATTATTTTACATCGAGTGATTGTTACTAATGCACTTCTCTCAATATAGACAAATAGAAAATAATAATTTAGGCGCTCGATGTACAATTTCCTTGAGTTTGGCTTTCGTCGTCAACTCAGATATTTAATCGACGAATTTATTCAATTTAATGCTACGTATCAATTCTTTCGAGAAGATTATCATTTTTTTCTATTTACCTCGCGACTTCGGTGCTTTGCTAACAATTAAAAATTTCCTATTTCTTTTCATTCATGTACTTTTTTTGTTGTTAATTCAATTCTCATTAGATAATAATAATTTATTATAATAGTCATATAATTCGTGATAATATACAACATTTCTCAATAGATCATTTACTCTAAACCCCATGGATCATTCCATAAAATTCATACATTTCGTGTTTCATTCACATAAGTAGAATATCAATTTATGCACCCACGAATAATTTCTGACGCACGCACTTCGCATTGGAACTGTATCGGTTACCTCGCATGTAGTTCTAAATCATCTGTAGTTTTAAGTTTAATGCAATTTTTTGAACTTTGACGGATTCTGATTACTGTTCGAAGCATGTGAACAAATCTGCATCATTTAAAGATTTTTTGCACGCAATTATTTTTAACGAAGTGATTTGAATTCTTGTACTATTAGCTGTTAAACGGTTTTTTTTTTTTTTAACAATAAGAAGTTCTGAAGTCGACGATGGAAAAACAGAAAAATTTGAATCTCGTATTTCGAAACTCTCTTCTACATGTTTTTCTTGGTGACTCATTAGTGTCTTTTGTTCAATTTTCTTAAGAATACCACAGTACTGCTTAGAAAATTATTTAGTAGAAGTCTCAGAAAACGAGTTTTAACATCGCATTTTTACCCTGACTTCGACATAACTTTGACTAAGACAACAAATTATTCAAGCAATTGAACGTCTTATAACGAGGAAGGACTTAAATTCTAATTAATAAAATTTTTAATTGAACTGAATTAATAAAACTGAAATAATAAAAGTATAAAAGTAAAACTTTTGAAAATTTCATGTTATTTTTCGACTGAAAATTTAAAAAACATAACCAGTAATCATATAATAATGCGAACTTTGTTTAATTTTTTTTTAATTACTATTTTAAAACTTTCCTCAATTATTGATAAAGGTAAGACTAAGTTGAAAAATTGTTTGAAGTTGAGAGGTTTTTGCAATGGATAGTAAATATTGAGACAATAGGAACAAATATAGCAAGAAACATATATTTACCATACTTAACTTAAAAACAACAAGGAACTATATTCATTTCCAAATGGCATAATGACAACTTTAAAAAATTTTTATAAAAAAGAACTTAAAATTTCTTTATTACTATACTTTCACTTCAAGGTAACACGATGTATTTTTGAAACAATCTAAGGTTTCTTTGTTTTACAAAGTAACAATGCAAATGATCATTTCAAAAACTCATCGTGTATTTTACAGTCGACATGAAAGATAGTATTTGATTATTAATTTATTAGTCAACTCATTTATAAAAGTGAAATAAACCATTTGATATATTGATATGATTTTTGCATTTTGATCATGATTTTATCGTAGAAAATAAAAATGTTTTGATAAATTCAAAATCATTATTACTATGATTAGTTACAGACTACATTTAGATTAAAAATTCATGTAAAATCAACAGTGTTTATTTTAATGTTTTAGATATAGAATTACGTTAAAATTAAATCCTTCCTCATTCGAAATTTCTGAGGGTACAGATTTACACGTTTTGCATGCAAAATTTTTTCTCTTTAACCGACACTCTTGCTTTATTAAAATTTAAAATCCCCACTGACATTCTTCTGCGCATTATTATATACTACGTTCTTCTTACATTATTATAATTCTTTATACTATTATCATATCAATACTGTTGACGGATAGAGATTCATTCACAGTTCCGCGTCAAAATTTACGGATGAAAGTTTATTTGCCACGTATGACAATACTTCTTCTTAATGTGGAAAATCTTCAATGCTCTTCTATGATTTGTATATTTCGTTTACAAGTATAGTCACACTTCTGCATCTTAAAATTGAGTTTTCTCGTTAATTTTTTTCACATCTACGTTTTTCACTTCCATCAATATTTTCTTCTTGCATGAATAATCTATATGTATATTTCCCTTAAACCCACGTCACAAGTACACATATTATATATCACACGCTGAATGTTCATTTTTATGCACTAAACGAAACTTATGAGTTAACCGTCTCTCTTTGTTCTCAATTAATTAAGATGCACAAAATTGATGAATCTTCTCAAAATAATAAGAATTGTACTTATGCAGCGAAAGACTAATCATTTACCAACTCATATTAACTAAAATCCGCAATGATACAGTTCATTTGAAAAAGATATTTACAATGTCTTAGTGAAAATATTAACTATTTTAGATATAAAAAAATGTCTTTTAAACAACCATGCTCTGACCTTGGACAAAAATATTATCATACAAAGAATAGTCAACCAATAAATTAGCACATTGAGTTGGTAAATGCTCCTCGGTTTTTGATGCACTAATAAGCTTCTCAGATATGACCATGTTGAGTAAGCAAATATTCAATTTGCTGAAGATAGAATACTTGTTGCAATATACTCTGGAGTGGAGTTTGTCCTGAGTTAGTTGGAGTAGAACCGAGAGCTTGTTGGCCTTGTTGCAACAGTTGACTCAAATTGCCCTGCTGTTGTATCGAGTCCATGGATACTTGGTGGGCATTTGGAGGCAAAGGCAGGGTTCCAATTTGAGAATAACGAGCCGCTGTCGAGGGTAAAGAGGCGGTGGCTGCTGAGGCGCCGGCAAGGTAAGCGGCTGAGGGGAGTTGAGAATTCTCGCCCCGCTAGGGAGCCACATTCTTGGGCCTGCGCCCCCGTCGCCCCCTGGTAGGGGGGCGCGGGGACTCCTGGCCTCACTGGCTCACTGCGGGGCTCTTCTTGTCTTGCTGTTGCTGGTTGGCGTCTTGTGGACCTTGAACGCCAGCTCCAGCACCGCCCTGGCCTCCTGGTACCCCCTGGATTGCATTAGAAAAAAATTTGTTCATTCAAAGTTCTTAATTTTTCAAACAGAGAATAAAAAAAGTCTGAGAAATGTATACATTACCTGGCTACCAGGCCCGCCTTGCGGAGGTCCTGGACCTCTGTCTGGAGGCCAAGAATTTCCTGGCTGTGGTTCCGAATGAAATTGATGCGGATGCGGTGGTGGTCCTCCTGTTGATTCATGACTGTGCGGATCTAAACTGTTTGAGGCATCATATTGTGTGTTCTCTAGCCTCGTTATCAGTCTTTCGTCCTCATCCCCGAATTCGCCACCCATCAAGGAAGGTTCACCCACGACCATAACATCCTGAACAGTACAGGAAATCTGTTAATATTCGTACTTATGTAGCATAAAGCTATATACTCACTTCAGAATGGATTAATATGGGCTTGCCAAATACTCGTAAAAATAGCATAAAATAGTACGGAAAAAATTACCTGGGTAGTTAAGGAAAAGTTAGGTCCTGGCGATCTTTTTTTACTCGGTGCTGGAGGTGCATTGCTTCCTGGTCCAGACGCACTTCCTTTTCTCTTTCTTCTTTTGTTAGCGGGTCTTTGAGACTCTGTAAATCAAAACAAATCGAGTTAATTATGCATCTTTCATAACTATCATTCATATCAATCATAAACAAAAAGTTTTAGTGTTTTACAAAGCATGTGAAAAAAAAATTGTAAATTTAAACTGTAATTTTTTAAAACAGCTATTAAAAAAAGAATTATTAAAAAAATATTTATTTATTTAAGATTTAACATTTAAAAAACTTTTGGTATTTGTGTAGGCTTGTTATCATTGAATGCCCATATTTTTTTTCTATGGTCATATTGATAATGAACAAAACCAGTAAAATATTAACATCAAGTTCAGTCTAAATTATCAATTTGACAAAATTGTAATTCATTATTAAATGGTAGAATTTTGTAAACATAATTTATAACTCGGTATTATTATTTTTAAATAAAATTGATAAACAAATAAATCATAAAAAAAAATATGATTGCATGAAAAATATACACATATAATAATGTACACTAGGTTTACGTATATTTATATGTATATATTTATAAGCTCAACTATAATAAAACTACTCTGCAGTGGACCTTTCTCTGCATCAAAGGTCTCTTACGTTTATAAACATGGTAAAAACTTTATATACAGACAACACATGCACGTGGTTTATTATACAAAATAGTCAATAAAATTATTACAAAAGCATCATAGTCATCGTCATTGTCATTTTACCACTTTTATTTTTATTTCATAGGCAAAATTTTCTGCTTTAACGATTAAAAGATATACGATTATAACAATGCAAGCTGAAAATTTCGGATGATTTTTCAAATCGTCAAAGGTACCAGAAGAGAATACTACATCCTAAAATTTATTAAATAGTCATGACCATACAAAAAAAAAAAATAATTGAAATATTATTTGGTATGTCGAAACTGATGAGTAAATTTATCTCAATTTCGTATGCGAACTCATGTCCTACACGCCCGTGTCACACACGATAAATTTCAAGGCTTCATTGATCTCGTAAAGGATGAATGATAATAAACACCAGTTCAAGTGAGAAAAAGTCGACCGCATCATTGAAGCTCATTTGTTTCATTAAAAATTGATATTTTCTATTTAGTCAAAGTAATAAAATATAACAAATAAAGAAAATAACTTAAAATAAATTAAAATCGTATGAAAAAAGTAATAACAACTCGATTGAAAACGCTTGAAAAAATCTTGAACATTATTCACGAACATAAAAGCGCATAAACTTGAAGGGGTAGGCAGCCAAGCGCAACGTTGACGCGAGAAAAGAAGTATGCAGTCGATTTGCATGATAAACAAAGATAGTGCCATTTTTTAATATATGAAGGTATAGTAGCCTCTACGATAGCATGGCTATGATGCACCGTCCGTGTTCCTCGCTTGTGGTTAGAAGCGTGAAACAGGATTCGAAGATTACGTCGAAATTCAATTATGCTCATAGTATTATAATGCTACGGCAAGCGGAGTTAGGGCAAATCATTTCAATGTCTGGGTCGATTTTCGACAAGTTTTGCACGGTTATGTAATGAGCTTACAAGAGAAGACAAGCCGTCGACTACCGATATTTTCGAAATGACGTTGCGAAGGCGAGTATTGCACATGTCATTGTTATAATCGTATACGAATGTAATAATTATTGCATTTCACTGTGCGCGTTAAATCAGTATCAAAGAAAAAATGCATGAGCGAGAATGAGAGAAGGAAGAGCCAATGGGCGAGCGACTAAATTAGATCCACTGCGGACGTTGGTCGTTCTCATGTAAAGCAACTGTCCGTCTACCTCTCTTACCCGGCGGGGCAACCATCCTTTGCCACTTCTGGAACAGAGTCGTTTTCAAGCAATCCCGGGGCGATAGCGCGTATGCCTTGTGCCTCGACATCAGCTCCTGCATTGGCTCCAGTATCACACATAACTGTCGGGCAGAAAAATTATTTAAATAAATAACTTTCTATGACGTATTTTAGATCGGTTGCTACGTGATACTCACCCTAAGGTAATTGAGCGTAGAATTCGTGATTCCTTGCCTAGTGATGTTTTTGGATAACTGTTCAAGAGTCGAAGGGTCCTGAGACATGGTGACAACTGCTCTCGGCACGAGTTCTCGATGCTGCCTCACCGCAAAATGCCACGACTTTATCCTCATGAGGTCGTCAAACGTGAACTCCAGTATTAGCCTACCCTCCGTACACACCTGCGCAATTAAATCCTACATTGTACACAACGCACGGCAGGATTTTGGATTATATGAGATTTGGCATGCAAGAATGAATGACGCGACTCGCAGAAATAGATGAGTGCAAAAGAAAAATTATAGCTCGCATAGGCGTGTTACGCAACGCGTCCTTACCTTCGTGAAGGCTGGTTTGCCATGGTGAGTGACCATAGTGCACTGATCACAGTCGAGCGTGATACTTGTGTTGTGAAACGATTCCTTCGGGTGTTTCAAAGTGTAGTAGAGCTCCGTCACGCCGCCCTCGAATATCGACCGGAAGTACCTGGGTATCAACGTCCTTCCTATCGCTGCAAAGTACAAAAACCACACACACACACACGTGAATAAGTATACTCTGCTTAGTTCCCGTGACGTTTATTATTATATGGGTACGTGTACATAGGCCGTATACATCCCGAGCATACGTGAGAATCCCATATCTATCTCCGTTCACGCGCGAGGTCGAAGAATGAACAATGCATAATTTTTAAACAATAATTTCTTTCTCTAATTCGTTTTCGACGCGACGCATGGCATAGCTTAAGCAGTAACGTGTATTCTCGCGTTCAAATTGGCGCATCAGCCGGCAAACACTCCCGTTAATTAAAAAAGTTCAATAGAACTTGAAATAAAGGCGAAAGTGAGATGGAAAGAGAGCGAGCGAGAGAGAATAAGTTCGAATTTGATTAAAACTCACGATTGAAAATTTGATTTTTCTTCTCTCTCCCTCTCTTGCGCTCTTTCAACGTGCGCCCGCGCAAGAATAAAGCTCGTCTGGATAAAACGAGCGCAATTCTATAACGGGAAATTTGCATGAATACATATTTAATGCGTAATATTTAACATATTTAATAGGCGTGGACTCGAGGCTAGCTGCGAATTGCTGTTGCATTTTTCGTTTACATAACTTTTCGCGCAAGCTCCTCTCTTTCGCACGTATGCGCGGCTCGCCCAGAAAATGTATTATTATTAGAAACTTGGCTAGCTAATGGAAGAAATGAAATAGATAAATGTAGATTGGGTGCGAAAGCTTACTGTATCGTTTGGGTCCATCCTCGAGGCAGAATGTGAGTGTGAGCGTCGCGTCATCTTCGAAAAACTCGTTAGCAAACGAATCCCACCATAGGTTATCGCAATCCTAGAAAATGGAAAAAAGAAACACATAAATATTAGCAATTGTTGCACTTCATTGTAAGTTCAACTTTGATCGATAAATGGAGAAGCGAAGAGAAGCGCAGCAACGATCTAGTGCCAAAAATCGTCGAAAAACCAACGCGCATCTAAATATATTATCGGTAAATAAAATTACTTCACCCAACAAATCTTACTCCAGCTACTTTTTATTCTGCGCATATATACCTATATAATATGACGTATTTCTCGCCGCTGCTTCACCATCTTTATGATGCATTTGCCAATAAAAAAAATATTTTATAATCCAAGTCAACCGTAGACCACGTGCTTATAACTTCTGCTCGATATAACACGTCTGTCGCGGTGAACAGTCGCGGGAGGCATAAAAATCAATTTTCACGCAGTTACGCGTTTGAAAAACCATCTATTGTGTGTCTACTATAAGTAGCCAAAAAGTTGACGCTCGCAAAATACTTGCAACCTCAAGTTCGGTGAAAATCTAATGCAATCTTTCTAAATTGAGTCGAATTTTGTTAGTCGAGTGCTCATACGTGTCAGGGAATAATGAAACAATTTCTTTCGTTCATAAAGTACTGGTTGAATTGCAATAGGTATCATCGCACCCTCAGCGCATAAAATATTCAACGGAAGAAAAGAAGGTCGAGGCCGCAAGGGCGCAAAGGTGAGCTATAACATGCGCCGGCCTGCAGCGAGAAGAAAGCGCAGCATCGCGCCTCGCACGCACGGAGATGCATAATATACGTGCATTGCAAGTGTGTATAATGGAAAACGTCTTGTATGCACTGAATAAGACATGAGGTGCCCGAGCACGCCTAAGCTTATGAAATTACCTGAAGTTTTAAAATTTTTTCATCCTCGAGTGTGCAGCTCATGTGTACGTTGGATAAGCATGGCATCGTTTATAATTTAACATATTTGAAGGACGATGTGTAATAGCGTCGACAGTCACATAATTATCGATTATTTCACACGGAGGAGGCTCGAGCGAGCCTTCTCTCTGTCTATGGTAGTGCACATTTTCTTAGGGCTCACCGACAGCAGGGTCAGAGGAAAAAAGAGGGAAGATTTGGTGTCTCCACTGCTGCTGCCGTCGCCGCCGCCGCCGCCACCACCAGAGTCGTAGTCGCAGTCGTCTTCGTAGTTCGGACCCTCTATAAATCAATTTAGCGCGGGGATTTATCGGCGTATTAGTCGGGTGCGATGCGTCGCGACGACGACGTCGCCGGGCAGCCATCCAAAAAGTCATGGCAAGGGTACCTATATGAACGTTTCGCATACGTATAATATCTCGAGCGAGCGTACGACACCAAATTTTTGCACAAGATATACCATCGACTTTATTTAATGAATTTTCGAAGCATAATCTCGTGAAGCGATTGTTCTTCGATGCAGTTGTGGCGGTCATGTCGAGTCCATAAAACTGTACACGCAATAATCTTCAGCGTTTGGTAGCTGCATCGCATTATATCTCGTAAGAAACTACACGATGCAGCGACGCATGTTGTATAGGTATACACGAGCGCGCAAGAGGATGAGTAGCACCTGCAGTGTGTATATGCTGCGACAGACCCGAGGCGTTGTGGGTCCTAGCTACGATCCCTACTGCAGACGGGCACGCTCGCGCGCGCGTGTTTGTGTGTATATATAGAAAGTCCAGCGAGAGATGCAGGCGGACAGTTCCCACAGAACCACCTTGGCTATATAACTGGTTTAGCGCGCGCGCATGCACACACACACACACACACACACACACACACACACACGTATAGACCAACACATACGTGTATGGAAGCTGGAAATACGCTCGTGCTGGCTTCGCGCCACGCGCAACGAGGACGAGTCACGAGAAGAACGAGAAAGAGAGAGAAAAAGATTCGCGTTTTGCATCCTTTGCCTCTGCCCTTCTCGACGGTCAGTGCGAGAGCTATAAGCCTGGATCTTGCTGTTCTCCCACGCGATTTTACGCGCCAAATCGTTGGCCGTTTGGCCCGTCGCGCGATCCAGCTTCCTTATCAGCTGAATTATTGACTCCGCAGCTCCGCTTTTGTCTATGCAGATTTGTTAAGCGAGAAAAATACCCGCATTGACGCAACGAGCAAGAGATCGGCTGACTTTTGCATTATATTCAAGAATTTTTGAGTCGGCAGTAAGAGTCTTGCCGAGTGGTCGACTCCAGGTCGAATGAACGCTAAATACTCTCCGATGGGCAGTTTACAATCAGCTCGTTTTGACGAGTAGTGCGCATGCATTTCTGCATGCCCTGCATACACTGCACTGCACTGCGCATAACACAGTATATGCCATTCATTTTGTAATATGGCCAGTGAGGCAGAACTCGTTATCGCGATCCTACCAAGTCGACGACGACACCGAAGCTGCATTCATGCATTACTAGCTTTGATTCACAAATTACTAATGCATATATTTATCGTTTTTATATGCAAGAGTCATTTTTACATCATTCGTTTTCAGCATTTATTCTCTTCGTTAAGAGAATTCAATATTTTATTAAGTTCAGATTGAAACTTGCGTTGTATACATTTTAGCCATATATTTCATAAACATTGATACCGCTTTCGATAAGTTATTAAACATCGTTCAAACAAATTACTTTTCTTTGATTATGCCACTATTTCAACATTGATTTTAACAATATGTCAAAAGAGTTGGTAGTAATAATTTGCTTTTGATGGTAAGTGAATCGCTTACACATTATAGATAATTAATTTAGCATTTAACATAGTTTAAATTTACGTAAAAAATAAATGATATACATTTTGACATTATATACTTGTCAATGCTCTAAATTATTTTATACAAGTTTGACCTCTGTCAACCGTCAAATCATCGATCGAATCAATATCAATCGTAAAGTTTTATATTAACTGATATTTTATTAATACAAAAGTTAATAGTATAAACACATAAAGCAATTTATTATGTTATTAAAACTGATCTTCATGTGAAATCAATATGAAGTTCGCAAAAAGTATAATTCTTGTAGCAGTGTATCCGATCATTGTACTTTATTAAATATTCAATATCAAATAAAATTTTATTTCTTATTTCAAAAGCCTTACGTATCTAAATTATTACATTATGAATTTTTATTTAAATATTTATAAAAACGAAAATAAAATTTTCAAAAGTATTGACACTTCTGTGTACGCACACATTTTATCTCACGGCATTGAAAAGATTAATATTGCTTGATAAAACAACTTTGATAAGGTCCAATTCATTACAATCGAAAAAAAATATCAATGATCAAGGATAAATTATACTATATACTATTTTTCGGACGTAAGAAATTTTTTGTTTTGAAAAATGTTGAGCAACCCAATTATTTATTATTTAAATTAATATTTAAAAAATGTATATATGTTATTGTTTAACGTCACTATTCATAAAAAAATGAAAAATATGCTCTCAGAAGTTACTTGGATAACTTAATAATAAAATAGAATTAATGCTATCAAATGTTAAAGTAATTTCAACAATTTTACCGACTAACAGAGTCATTTTTATTTTAACTTGAAATTGTAATTGATTCAATATTTTACGTAAATCAGTTAATTTGAAAATTAAAAAATAAATCACATATACTTTGTGAGTTCATAACCTTTAAAAATGTAAAATGAAGTCGGTTCTAACCTCTTATGATTCGAAAACCATTTTAAACGTCTTAAAATTATAAAATTAAGACGAATTGCAGGAAAAAACAATGGAAATACTTCTTAAAATGACGAGAAAATTATGGCATATTATTATTCGAAAAATGTTGTTAAAATCCAAAAAAATTTGAAAAGTTGTGCACGACGAAGCCAAAAATTTTGCGGGCCACTGTACCCGAGAACTGTTTCTGCCGACTGTACCACCCTACTGTTGTTAGGGGGGAGACTAGGGGTGGTATATGATCGTGTATATACACTGCAGCTAAAGTATTGTCAGGCCGCTCCACCTCTGGCTTTTAGCGAAAAAATTCTCGTAAAAATCAACGACATAATCAATAAGGTTGAGAGTAATTTCAAAAAATTTGTAAAATTCGTCCGCAAACAGCCACCATTTTTGAAAAATTTCAATCGAAAACTTGGATCGATAATGAATGAGAAGGATTCTGCCTCTGGCTGTGAAAGCATTGGACAAAACGAGCCCAGCCAGTGACTGCCGCTGCCGCTGCTGCCGCCGCCGCCTCGAGTATATACGGCCAGGGGCGTCGCGCGCGCCCGCGAGCACGAGGGGCAAAGGGAGATACACACATACACACGCACACATGCATGTACACTTGTATATATAACAGACTATATAGACGCACGTATATATATATACTTGCTATACATACGTATAGATATATGTATATATGTGAATATATACACGCGAACAAACGCGTAGCGCTAGAACGAGAGAGAAAGAGAGAGAGAGATACAGATGGATATAAAGAGAGAAAGAGAGAAACGAAGGGGGTACTATATGGGTTATCGAGGAGGGCCCCACCCCCGAGAGAGGACAGAGGCCCTCATTTTATTACCCAGACGCAAGTCAGAATCTGTCTATATGTATAGATCATGCTTATATATACGTATCTATTTGTTAAATACATGTGTATATTTACACGTGCACGAGTGTGTAATTCGTATAGACACTCAATGGTCGAAGGGGTTCTCAAATTAAAAAATGCGTATACGCACACGGGCGCGCGTACACGAGTCTGTACATATTGGTCTTTATCGCGGCTGCAGAGTGATGGAGACACGAAATCTGCAGTACCCAAGGCGCTTTGACTGCTGATGCTGTATTGCGGAGCTACTAACGCGCCGGAGTAATAGCTTGGCTCCATGTGTGCACGATTCGAGCACTGCCGCAGTGGACACGCAAACATCAACTTGATGCTCCATTCTAACTGAAGTTGATTTTGCTATTTGTTTGTTGCTCTTTTACATAAAATAGAACATGTTGCTATCGAAATGTCAAGTGTCATTCTGT